GGAAAATTTTGATTTTAATGATTCTGCAATTATAGTAAAATTCATTGTTATTGGAACATGAATTCTTAACAATTTTAATCATTAAACACGACTTTCACAATCTTAGGGATATATATATGATTCTAAAAATCTTTAAAACACAATTCTTTGATAGATTTATTGAATACACAAAACTCTTTCTAAATTTAACAAATCTAAATTGTTAAAATCAATGAACTCTATCTAAATCCTACTGCCAATAACCCACCTTCTCTAAAATTGTTTTCTCCAATTTTTCGATTATGAAATATGTTACCAACTGAAGTTATAATTTCAAGATGCGCGAGAAACTTTTAAAAGAGTTTCGAATCTAGCAGATATATGACTCGCCCAAACATTATGAAAATGTAATTAGAGAAGGACATCTCTGCTTTAAAAAACAAAAATCAATTCAAGTTAAGAAGTTCCTAACCTCAAATGCAATGCGGAGTGACAATTGTCTTAAGTGGCAAACTTTGAGGAAGTTTTTGTATCAAAAGGAGCAATAAAGAAAAATCTCAAGTACTTTACTTCCAACAGATATTATGTTTTCATACACAAATGCTAAATAAAAAGGAGATAAAATATGTTTTCATACACCACAAATACATAAAAAAGAAGGATCATCATAATTAGGTTTCATACAGTTGCCGCCAAAGTGGTTGTCCACCCCCAACTAGTCTTCGAAAATCTCCTCCCAAACATGGTTTCTTGTGCCCGTGATTACTATAGGTTCTAATTCAATTCGACTTGCTCGTGGTCGTGCTATGATAACGGTGATGTTTTTGCATTGTAACTCGATCAACAAGGAGTTGAACTCTTGATCGCGGATGGCTATAGGATTACAATTACAAAAAGGAACAAATTTTAAAACAAAATAACTGTAAGAAACAAGATCTTACCCGCGACGGACGACGTGTGAGAGGAAGAAGAAGCCGACATGTGTGTAAAGATTAAGTTGGAAATAACAGAGACACATAGAGTAAGTCGACGACATGTGTGTAGAGATAAGGTTGGAAACGGTAAT